CAAATAGGGGCATTTTAGTAATTTAAGCCCACTTTAGTGGCTCGAGCCAATAACAGACCATGGTTGTTAGAGTTAGCAACATAGAATAATGATTTATGATGAAAAGAGTGAGTTTAGTATTGCCAACCTTGATCAACTAGGAGCAATTTTCATCATTGATAGTCATTCGCTACTAACCTTAAACAATAATGGGTATTTTTATCATTTAGCTTGGGCCTCTTAAGTGGGGATAAATTATCAAAATGACTATACTTATTCAAGGTTCCTAATGCTGATAAAGACAAATTGGCCACTTTTTATTATACTTTTTAAGAGGTATCTTAGTGAAAAAAAAATATAATGAAAAAGATCAAAATTGCCTTTGTTTAGGATTGATAACACTAAATAAATAGGGGCATTTTGGTTCTTTAGCCCTACGTGAGTGGAATAAACAAATGATAAAACTACCCCTGATTGACACAAAATATGTCGTATATGGCACATGTTCGTCAAATTTGCATCATGGTATTTTTTTTATAAAAAAAGTTTATGTAAGATTGACACATTAAAAAGTAGAATTAAAGAATAATAGAGGAGCAAGATTTTATAACTTTTTTCCAATTAATTCGGGTTGGCTACACGAATCATTGTCCGCCATTATGCTCTATTAAGGGCCATACCTTCAGTGAGGCCATAAGTCCTCATATCTTTTCGGACTATTTCAAACCACGTCTTTTTGGCCTCTACCCCTTTCCCTTTTCAGTCCTTCTATTTGAACTAACTCGCACCTTGTAACAAGTGTTGTATTTAGTCGGCGCTACACATGATCAGCCCAACTAAGTATGCTCTCCCTCAGTCATCTTATCACCTATTGGTGCCACAGCTAAATTCTCTCGAATGGATTCATTTTGAATTCTATCTCCTCTTGTCTTGCCACTCATCCATTTCAACATCCTCATATCTGTTACACTCATTCTATGGGTATATTGTTTTTTATCTACCCATAGAGCAAAGATGGTCTCACAAATGTCCTATAGAATGTGTCATTCAGCTTCATTGGTATACGACAATCACATAAAATTCCAATTGCACATCTCTACTCCACCCACCCAACTCTAACTCTATGTATCACATCTTTAACAATTTTTTCATTTTCCTGGATTATCAACCTAACGTATCGAAAGTGCGATTTTTTTTTTATACTTCCTGACCGTCAATCTTAACTACTTCATCGTCTCTACTTCTATTGTTACTAAACTTGCATTCCATATACTTTCTTAGTTTGGCTAATTTTAAAACCTTTGGATTTTAGAACATCCTTTCAAAGTTCTAACTTTGTAGTAAAAACCGTTTTGAGTCTCATCGATCAAAACTATGTCATCTACGCACAACATGTACCACAGTACCTCATCCTGTAGGCGTCCAGTTAAGTCGTCCTTCATTAAGACAAATAGTTACATGCTCCATACTAAACCTTGATGTAGACCTATTGTTACGGAAAACTCATTCATTTTTCGCTAATTGTTCGTACACTATTTAGCGCTCCATTGTACATATCTCTCATCAAGTTGATGTAGTGTTTAAAAACTCTTTACTCTTCTCACACCTGCCAAATCAAATCTCGAGGTACTCTATCATAAGTTTTCTCTAGATCAATAAAGACCATGTGTAAATGTTTTGCCTTCGCCCTAAACTTCTCAATCAATTTTTTAAGTAGGAAAATAGCCTCAATAGTCGACCTTCTTGCTAAAAAACCAAATTGGTTTTCAAATACACTCGTTTTAGCCTTAGTCGTTTTAGGTCTCATCGATCAAATTGGTTTTCAGATACACTTGTTTCTTACTTTAGGAGCAAGATTAATGTAGCTGAATGGGATAAGGCTTGGATGATGATGATGATCATTAAAAAGTAGAATTAATGTTATAAATATGGAGTAAAAAAGAGATTTCAAATCCTAAAAATGGTGGACCTTTGCAACATATTATTTGGACCACCCATTTTCAAGATTATGATGCTTTTATAGATATGCTTGATTTGAACAAGTTTTGGAATTTAAAACCTTATAGTTAGAGATAAAAATAGATTCTTACACCATCCTAAGAATTTTTTACACCAAAATTACATCTCATGATAAAGTTTGGAGGTGCATATTTCTTTGATGGGTGTGGTTTCTATAAGGTTGCAACCTTAAACAATCCAATTAAGGCACACCTCCACATTTTATTATAATATGTAATTTTGGCAAAAAAAATTCTTAAGGTTATCCGAAAATCTATTTTCATATCTAATTATAAAATTTTGAACTCCAAATAAAGTTAAAATTAAGTAGATTTATAAACATATGAAAATCTTGAAAATAGACGGTCTAGATAATGTGTTGTATGCATTATTTCTAGGACTCAAAATCTTTTTTCCTTTTCACATTCATACATCTCGATGATCAATTAGAGAGTTTTTCAACATTAAAACAATTTCTTTCTACAGAGTTTTGAGGTGCATCCTTAATTCTACATTTTAAGTTGTTTGTGGAAGTTGCAAGCAAACCACACCCTTTTTTATATTATAAAATGGACGTAACTTTTAAACAATTCATAAGATCTGCGGTGCGATATTATAAAATGGATGTAACTTTTAAACAATTGATAAGATCTGCGGTGAGACATGGACGATTGAAAATCTTATTCGATTGCCTATAGAATGGGTTTCAAGTCATTCGGGTGAAGTTTTCCTGGGGAAAAAAAATCTCGCTAATTTTTGGGTAGGGCATTTTCATACTTTGGTGACTAGAGTGTATGGCAGCTGATCTACCTTTTATTACCTACAAAAGAATTGTTATACTTCATTAGCCATTCTTTTTAAATTGTTAATGCTTCACAGTGCCATGAAACCTAGATCGACCGGGCGAACTGGTAGTCTGCGAAACCGATCTGCAAAACCGATCCGGATCAATTGCATGTCTCTTTAACAGAAAACATTCCATTTGCAGAGTGAATACATACCAAAAAATTCAGGTTAAGGTTTTAGGGGGATTGAGGCAACCTCTACTTCCTTCCAAATTTTGATCTATTGGTTCCAGGTTCTAAGAGCTTGTCCTGGTGTAGCGGTATGGAAACACCAGGATTGTGGAGAACAATTTAAGTAGTCTACAACCCTTGAGTTGACAAAACTTCCCAGGTTCTTACGAATACGAGAACCATAAGATTCTAAAATGGATTTTTTTGATAACCATGGATCTGTCCAAAAATTAATTGTCCTTCCATTCCCAATAATCCATCGAACATTGTAGCGCGAGAGAGACAACCCCATTTGAATGTCTTTCTATGCATAAGAGCATGACTTCCTATCAACTTCCCAAATTGAACAATTTCTGAAGTACCTGTGCCTAAAGAAGCGAGCTATAAGAGAGACGGCTTAGCCATAATCCTCCATGCCAACTTCATCATGCATGCATTATTGAACTCATAATATCATGAATTCCAAATCCCCCCTCTTTCATTGGCAAACATACATTTTTCCACTTTACCAGGTGAACCCCTTGAGCTATACTAGCCCATAAAAAATTTCTTTGAAGCCGCTCTAACATACTGCATATGCGTTTTGACAATATAAATGATATAACCCAAAAAATGGCTGATGAACTTAGCACTGATCTCAACAATTGTAACTGACCTGCATAAGAGAGGGATAAAGCCTGCCATGTTCCTATCTTGTTAATGAATTTCCCCACGAGATTCTGACAATTATGGTGCTTTAAGTTACTACGGAACAGAGGCATTCCCAAGTATCTTACTGGAAGAGAACCCTCACCAAACCCCAATTCCTTCAAGATCAAATGTTTTGCATTCATGGAAACTCCAAAAAAGAAAACCTTACTTTTAGTTCCATTCAATTTTTGCCATGTGGTATTTCCAAACAAACATAGAATATAATTCATCTGTTTTGTAGCTGCTAAAGAAGCCTCACAGAAAATAACTGCATCATCGGCATAAAATAGATGTGATACCCCATAGTCACAGAAGGAAAAGCCATTGGAATAGTATCTTGTAGTATTGCCTGATCCAACTGCTTACTCATGAAATCCATTACCAACAAAAAAAGATACGGAGATAGAGAGTCCTCCTGCCGTAAGCCTCGTTTTCCTCTAAAATATCCCATTGGGGAACCATTATGCAACACCGAGAATGAGGGAGCAATAATACAATGACGAATCCAAGAAACAAAAGATCTGGGAAACCCAAAGCATATAACTTCGCAAGAACAAAATCCCAAGAAACCCGATCATAGGCACTACTTAGATCCAACTACAAACACATCTTAAGATTGATTGAATATTTATAACATAATGAAATAAGCTCATTGACCATCAATATATTATCTGTGAACCATCTCCCCTTTAAAAAAGTAGCTTGCTTGAAATCAATCAGAGTAGGTAATACCTCCCTCAATCTATTAGACCACTATCTTTTTCTCACATATTGGTCCCCCTATTCTTTCTTATTGCAGGTCTTCACAGAATCACAGAAATTGCAGCCTAACATTTTGAGTTCTAGCTATAAAAAATCATTTTCAGTTCTATCTGTTTCTCCCTATAAATTAACACCAACCAACTCTTTTAAATGAAACACATTCTCATGATCATTTGGATACATTTACTCATTCCATTGTTTCTCTCTAATAAAAGGAAAAAAGATTTGAAATCAGGCGATCGAGAATGTGTTGTTGATTAGGCGGAAAGTCCATAAAATTTCTTGAATGTTATACACTTTCACCGATTGGATTTCACATCCAATGGCTAAAAATGATTGCGACCTCCTTGTACCAGAAATAAATAGTCTCATAGTCTATAATCCCTTACAAATATTAGGGTCTCATCTTTCCTTGTAAAAAGGTTTTCATTACTTATTCCAATGCAGATAGCACTGGCAAACGCTATTTGGTTCACCACCAACATATTGATAACCAGATTGTAAATAATTTAGTATTAGCTATATCCCGATATGTAGCGTAAGCCATACAGAAACTGCAAGGCATGTTGAACCTCAAGTTATTAATTTAAGAATAAGGTAAAGGTACAAGCAGTTGTATACTTCATCAGAGAAGTAGAACTCATAAGAATATGATTAGGAAGTATCACCTCCTCTGGAAATTCAAATATTTGGTGCATAAACAGAAAACAAACAAAAACAGAAAAATAAAGATAAACTGAACTGCAACAGCTATACCTAGAAAATTAGCTTCAAGTCCGAGATAAACTTCAAGAAACTCTTTGACGCTCTGGCTTGCTTGCCCAGGTATATTGATTGTCTCAGTTCGATCTCCCAACTGAGAAACCATCAAACCGTAAACAGTCCAAGCTGCAGGATTAACCCAATAAAACCATCTCCACCACAGAGGAATCATCTGCAAAATGACCAATCTAATTATAAGAATCTCAAAAAACAAATAAATACACCCACACAAACAAGCGTGCGAGAGCGCACACACATACATACAACCACTTACAGGCCTCGCAATGAAAAAGCCAGAGAAAATGTTCCATAAGATAAAGAAGAAGAAGGAGATCAGGGCGGCCAACTCTTGTGTTGGAGTTAATGCTACAGCCGTCATCCCAAAAAGAGTGAGGTACAAGACACTTAGTAGTACAAAGAAGGTAAACCATAAGAACTTTGCCAACATCCAAGAGAAACCAATCAACGGGTATATGATCAAGACAAAGACTAGAACTTGGATCACAATATATGGGATCTCAATGACCACCTGCAAAAACAAAAGAATCTAGTCTCCTTGATCAGTCTAGAATTTCTAAATTCAAAACTATCTAAAGATTACAAAATATGCATAGGTTAATATGCATTCCATGGCCAATAACCCAATGAAACAATGGATAGAAACAAATCCCTTCGAAATTCTTCTTTGATGGAATAGAGACACCTAGTTCACAGCTTTCACACAATGTTCCCATCACGTTTTACAGAATGTGCAGAAATAATTGAAATGACCATATATATTGTAAAAAAATAGTCAATGGTTTAAATTCAAAGAATTTAAAATGCGTCATTTTTTCATTTTGCAGGCTATATCATAGAAGAATTTAATCATAAGAGCTTGAGAATACCCATCTTAAAGGACGGAGGATGGAAGAGGGAATGAGGTTAAGTCTAGGAAGGTGGCAAGCAGGTTGTTCTTCGTTGTTAAGAAGGGCAAACAGGTTGTTTCTCAACAATGAAGAACTTACTAGTCTCAAGCATTTTCATAAGATTAGGATTCTTGGTAAAATGAAAAAACTGCATATTGACCAAAAAGAAAATGCAAAATGCATATTGGTCAAACTCTAACAAGGAGATAATGCTCCCTCCTCACTTATGTGGTTTGCATCTCAGATTCCCAAGCTATGACAAACATGCCCATTTAATCACATCTCTAAGCACTTTCGTGATTTTATCACAAAGGAATGATTTTCAAAGTGATCATACCTGAGCAATGGTATAAGGCATGGCTGAATACATTCCGGCCGATCTCTCACGATAGAAAACTGTTCTCCCCAGCCCGACTATGGGTTGAACTGCAGTAGTGTTCGTGAGGCCTAAGAATAAAGCCGACGCATATGTTGCACCAAGAGTGTTCAGGAGATCTTGTTGCTTGCTTCTATATATGAACAAAGAATAAGAATGATAAATGACAATGATAATCACTCCTAAAAACGAAGGACAATGATATATTGCTAGTGTAACCTAAATAAAGAGCAACCATTTGATGTAAAAGTAATATTAAAATCCACCGAGTATTGTGTTGGTAAATTAAACTCACAGGTCCAAAGCAACACCCCTAAATATGGTTCCAAATAAAACCGATACAGTGACTGTGATGAGGAAGCGGATGGCATTGTGTTCAGGGTTCCTCCAATAGGACCAATGTTGTTTCCATAAGCATGCCATGCACTGAGTCAAGAAGCCGTGAGAATGCATGCAATCTAGACAAAGGTCTTTTGAACCTGTTGAAGTCCTACTCAATCCCTCTATGATTTGCTGGTATTTCCTGGCAGTCAAAAGACAGTCAATAAGAATTCGGAATCTATACATATTTTCAAGATAGGAATAACATACCCATATAAACAGGAGTTATGGTAAACTTGAGCAAAATCCACGTTAAGATTAGTCTCCATGGAAAATGAAGTTATGTCCAACATCCAAGCTGCTGGATTGTAACCATCCTTTATCTTAGGAATCCCTGGAAGAGCCTGAAAATAAATTGAAAAACTTTCAGCAAGTTTATGATTCAGGTCTAAGGAAATATATTATTATGGGGAATTTTCTCCCAATACATCACAAAGTTCACTTCATGGACTCTATAGTAGAAATTTTTCATACACAGTGCAAGAGATTGAAAGGATCTTAAATTATAGTACAAAGGAAAATTCAAAAAACAAAAAAGAACAAAAGCTAAAAGTAGTTTTATCTTACACCAAAATTTTTTCAATAAAACTAGGATGATCACCATGATTCCATGTCTCAGTTGAAACCTTGAAAACAAGAAAGCAATAATTTCCAAAAATACTCACCATTTTCACCAAATCATAGATTATAACTAAGACATTCCAATGTGTGGAAGGTATCATGCAGTAGATTTCAATAGGTGACAAGATGAGGGAAAGCAGACATAGGTGGGCTGGTCATGTACGGCATAGACCCATTACAGTGCCGGTTAGGAGATGTGATTTGATTCAAGTAGAAGGCACTAAAAGGGCAAGGGAAGGTCTAAAAAGACATGGATGGAAGTAGTGAAAAAAAATATGGGGACATGGATAGAAGTACTGAGGGTATAGCCCTTGCTAGAGCAGAATGGCAGAACATGATTCGTATAGTCAACCCCAAATAGTTGGGATAAGGCTCTGATGATAATGATGAATTTATTTTGTACCAGGTATTTATGTCTTTTAGACTTGGAAAGAATCTAGGGTAGTTTAGTCCTTTATTATTTTATTTAATTAGGGTATTTTAGCTCACTATGCTTGAGAAAACTTGATTAAAAAGGGGAGAGAAGGATGTCCAGTTCCTAGGATGTTTACTTTTTTAGAACTTTGTGAAAAATAAATAAATAACTAGAGAAGAAATTCTTGAACTAATTGATTGAAAGCCATAGAGGTCGCTCGGTTGCACCTCCAAGGTCTTCCCTTCCAAGATACTCTTACGTTTCTTCTTTTCTTTTTTCTCATTTGTTCTCCTCCTCATTTCTTCCCTTTTCTTCCACTTTTCCCTTCTTCTATCTTTTCTTTCATTTTCTTCCCCATTTACTTCTTTTCTATCATTTTCTTTCCCTTCTTACTTCTTTTCTTTCTTTGAATCCTTTATCCTTTATTATTGTTCTCTTTCTCCCTTATTTTTTCTATTTTTTTTGTTCTTTAAACTTTGTTCTTTTCATAATCTTCCAAACTAGCAAAAACTTGGCATTAAAATTCCACTAAAATCTTAAAGTAACCCAAAGGTCGTCCCTAGAATTAACCATAAATAAAATCCTTTGAAACCCTAATTTCATACATAGAGTCCAAACCGTAATTTTTACACCCTATTAACTTCAAGGAATAAATAGGTTTCTTTTGAGGGAAAGCTAATAACTCTATTGATCATCCACCTAATAATGAAATCAACAAACTATACAAATTAGCCTTGAACATTAAAACGAATCCCCAATTTATCCAACTAATAAACATCTTTCAAGTACTTAGAAAACCTAAAAAAATTTCAATTTTCCATATTTAGAACACAATGAAGAGAACATTCTTCCAAACCAGACCGAAGTAGAAGTAAACAGTCGGACCCGGACCTGGATCCCAAAAAATATTATGGGACCCAGACTAGACTGGACCCGAAGTCACCAGAATTGGACCCAGATTCACACCCTAATGTGGGACCTGCCATTTGGACCTGACCCAAAACTCAAAAATCCATATCTTTAAATATATTTCATAAATTGGGAACCAAAAATATAATATGGGGCCCGGACCCAACCATACCAAGACTCGAATAGTGTTCGGGTCCAAGATTTGGATCTGGACCCGAAGTAGTCGAAAAAGATATGGGGACTTATGGCCTGTCTGAGGATATGGCCTTTAATGGAGAAGAATGGAGAACCAGGATTCATGTAACCGACCCTAATTAATTGGGAAAAGGGTAAAATGATGATGATGATGATGACCCGGACCCCGGTCGGGTCAACCCATCGGGTTCCGAGT